TTATACTTCATAGGTTGAAGTTTGGCTGCCATCTTGCCTGACTACAAACTACTATTTATGAAGAAGTAATAAGGATAAAAAAGAATGTTGTAGTAGCTACTGCTGTCATTTTTCTCCCAAACTTCCTGAATTCTTATACTTTCATTTAACTATAACTATTTTAACTGCTCCTAATGTCGTTCTAGGCTAGTCTACATGCATCACTTTTAGTGAATCTGGGCCATCAAAAACCGTATAAATAATACGATAAAATTGAAAATAAATCATGAGTCAAATAGATGACACTAGGTACTTATGAGCTGTCTCCTTAAATCTTTTATCTGTCACATTGTCACACGACGTGACGTTACTTGTCTCTAAGACCATATTATGTAGGTAATTTGTATTAACTCTATCTACATGATTCTTCATTTCTATCATAAATATTATGACTAATTTTCCAAACATTTCCGTTCTTCTCGAATCTAACGATATCTAAATCTATATTCTCGAGTTTGTCTATATTTTTTTCAAAAAACAATGTTCGTGTCCTATGATATGTAGGTATACTCAATATCATGCCATGCCATGGACCGACCTAAATATGTATTCAGATATTTCATGAAGTATAAATAAAATATGTTGCCAATTGTTTAAATGCAGGCAACAAAAGAAATGGGTTATTTAATTTAAAAAATAAAGAAAGAGATTGTGTAATTACTTGTCTTACTTAACTTAGGTACTGTCTTCTAAAGTAGAACTAGTAAGTTATGATAACTTATAAAGACTTTATGCATGCGTCTGTTTTAATCGATTAATCCTAAGAATGCAAATATCGAATTATTTTGCAAAAGACAAGAAAAAATCATATATTACATATTTATTTGTTTGAATTTGTGTGAAATTGCTATAAAGATATCAAAGGCACTGACTGAATTAAGAACAATATCATTTACCTTCTCTGTTGTTTAAAAACTTTAGTAAAAGTTAATACACATGGTATTAAGAAGTCCTAATAATAAACCTGATAATGCTTTTAAATCCGGTTTGAAAGGCACGTTAACTCGTGAGTCTTTATTTATTGCCATTTGGGCAACTGCAGTGGTGGTGGAAGTCTAGTAAGTAAGTATACCAAAAAATCTATTCACGGATCTAAACAACATTGTGGTGATTGTTGGTTTTTTGGATTTAGTTTTGGGGTTTGAAATCTCTAACGTATTTTCATGTAAAATACTAACATTGAAATAATTAAATGTAACATGTTCAATGTTGTTAAAAATAGTTTGTAAGTAGGGTCAGTGCTACTAGCCTGTACAGTGTACCTCCATTATTAACCGATACTGTAAATGACAATAAGTTTATTTTTCATTCTTCACGAACTCCTAACTCAATATTAACAGAGTTTATTAAAACATTATAACTAGAGCCTAATTAAATTAAAAACTTTAACATCTCAGTCAATGAATTTGTGGACACTATTTGCGTAGGCGTTAAGAGAAAAATAATCTTTAGGAGGCCTTTCGTTTCAGAAGGCTAAAAGAGACTGTACTATGTGCACATAGGATTCTAAATTAGTTTTGCAAGTGAGATTTATTCTTCAATAGGGAAATATATTGTTTCCGACTTCTAAAATATTATTAGTAGCCTGTAGCTCTGTAACTTAATCTAATGGTGATTAAAAATACATAATACCTACTAGCGTTTGATATTGGTATGTTGCAAAGTATTAAATTGAAATTGGGTAATAAAAAAAAATTATTATTAAAAAAACAAAATACCCGACTGCACACTAAAAAAAGAGTAAAACAAGCCCCACAATAATATTGATCAATCAAATGCTAAAAACTAATTATGTAATACCGTTTAAACAATACCTATATTAAAATACACTACAATATGTGTTCGTAATCGATAGTTAAATAAACAGAAACTTATTTTGAATACAAATTTACTGAATATAATTTATAAATGTTGATGGAAAGCATCGCAGGCGGGGACCACCTTGACCGCCACCAACGAAAATTCTGCTAAATGGTGCACAACCGAAATGACTATAAATAAGCCTCTGTTGGTCCCCGCCTGCGATGCATTCCATCAACATTTATAAATTATATTCAGTAAATTTGTATTCAAAATAAGTTTCTGTTTATTTAACTATCGATTACGAACACATATTGTAGTGTATTTTAATATAGGTATTGTTTAAACGGTATTACATAATTAGTTTTTAGCATTTGATTGATCAATATTATTGTGGGGCTTGTTTTACTCTTTTTTTAGTGTGCAGTCGGGTATTTTGTTTTTTTAATAATAATTTTTTTATTTATAACTTTTTAGCTGTTTTTATTTCGATATATACAAATAGGGATATATCGAATAAAATCGCTATTTAGAGACGACCGTCAACGACGTGTGCCCTCATGCGTGTGCCCGCAATCGGGCTGTATACTCGAGCATATCCCCCTCCGCACCGCGCCGCGCGCCGCATGCCAGGCCACGCCCTATCTTTTTGCTTGCTAACGCATGAGTTGCTTTGCGTTGACGCAGAATTAACATGTTCCCGTGGGAATTTTGAGAAAAAACGTATCCTATATTAATTACTCCCGTGATTGAAATGAATCTAATGATACCGCATACATATTTTTTTAAAGGGAAATTTAGAAAAAATATTATTATGTCTTTATCCCGTGGGACTTTTAGGATAAAATGTATCCTATGACACTCCCGTAATCAAGACAAATCTAACGATACCTCATACATCAAAATCCATCAAGCCGTTTAGGCTACAGGTGGTCACAAAGGAAAAGACATACATACATACTTACATACACTCGAAAAACATTACCCTCCTTCTTTGGCAGTCGGGTAAAAATACATATTATGGATACAAACACGATATTGCACTGGTTTTGTACTTTTCTAAAGCTTTTGATAGCTCTCATGTATCAACACTTACATTTTATTTTATTTTTTATTTTATTTATTTAGAAAACCAACAGCGATACATATGATATAATACAAAATAAAGATATTACAGTTTAGTAAGGCTAATAATAGGTTTCCCTGCTTAACTTAATTTGTATTTACCATTCGAACGGACTTTAAACAATATTTAATAAAAAAGAACAACTTGAATATATCGAGGGTATATTAAGGCCAGAAAACTATTACTTATTCGACTAAAACATAAAGTATTGGTGCTGGGAATGATGTCATATTTTTATGCAAACTTAAAATTAAATAGAAGATTCTTCTAGGACTATACTAGGAGGCCCTACGCTAGTTCAAGGTTTTTTGGATACCTAATCTTTATATATATATCATTCTTCTGTGAGTGTGTATGTCACTGAACTTCTCTCAAACGACTGGACCGATTTTGATGAAATTTTTTGTGTGTGTTCAAGGGTATCTGGGAATGGTTTAGATTCACCAATCAGCCCGGCAGATGGCGCTGCAGTCGATGTTTAGGTTATTTATCCTGAACAGCTGAACTAATTTGAATGAATTTTTGTTTATACATTCAAGTGGATATGCAGGACGTCTGTTGGGATCGCTAGTATCTATATTATAAACTATTTTAGTATTTACTTAGTGGCTTAAAAATGTATTATCCTATATTGCACCTGTTCTTATCTAGCGCCATCGGTATTTTGATTATTAAATGATAGATGCACCGTATAGATAATATTCAGACTTATCTATCAGAATATAATTATGAAAAATTTACTTAATCTGTCGTCCTATCTGCATAACATTTTTTTTATTTATTTTTGGAACTGCTATCAATGTATCGTTTCATGAATAGGTATGTTTGTGAAAAGAGGTGGCGGTGTGGTGTCCTTCCACGTAAATTTCGTTGATTTTGCCAAAAATATAAATGTTTATCCATGTGAAGATGAAGAATATGAAATTTGTATTTCTTAAACAAATTCTTGAATCCCAAAAAGTGTGCAGACTTTGGTAGGCATTAATGATATTCAAAATTTTCACTTGATTTTGAAAGTGTGCGTGAAGTAGAATGCATTTTCTGATTTTGGTAACTCTCTTAATATTCATTGGTATTCAGTGAAATAAATCACACTTAGCGCCGGTTTCACCACCTCCTCATAAAACCTGATAAACCTATGTGACAGATAGTTCACACAACTTACGTTCTTAATTCAATTTTATGTGGTAGATAGCTGCTAACCAGATATTGTGAAACAGGCCCTTCACTACATAGTATAAAACAAAGTCGCTATCTGCCGTCTGTCTGTCCCTATGTATGCTTAGATCTTTAAAACTACGCAACAGATTTTGATGAGGTTTTTCTGATAGATAGAGTGATTCTTAACTCGTCGAGTACCGTCAATATAGACACAATTATAGAACAATAGGTTGCGGTCACCGGTGACCGCTTGGTATTTGACAGTTTAAGGAAGATTTATATGTATAATACATGAATATTGACTCCGTACGAAGCCGGGACGGGTCGCTAGTAATATTATAAATGTGAAAGTTTATTTGTTTGGATGTTTGTCCGTTAATCACGCTGAAAGCACGCTGATTTTGATGAAAATTTGTTTTCAGACTTTGGTATATTGGATACTTTTTATCCCGATTCCCGGGCAAAGCCGCCGTAAAAGCTAGTAGGCAAATAAATCTGAACAAGGCGATCATGAGAAAAACATCTCTTTAAATTAAATTATTTATTTTATTAAAATTAATATTTTACATATAACATGTAGAGGAAAATTGTGTTGGAGTTCACCAATCCTTACCATAGCGTTTTTAAAATTATTAAATAAATAGGTGTGAGATTGCTTAACCTAAACTAGCAGTAAACTGTTACCGAAACGAATTACTCGAGATTCCAGGTAAAATGTGAGTAATATTCTACAGACTTAGCAATTTCTGCTGAAACCACTGGGGGGCGTGGTGTTGCTCATTTTTCGGATCACTGATGCAGTCATGAAGCAGTTGTTAGGCTGGAAGGGTTGTGTTGGCGGCGCATAGTTTCCAGTACTGTACTGGTTTCTGGGAGGCCCGAAGCAGGGGCTGGGCGCAAAACTCTTGTAGCCGGAGCTCATGCCAGAGGGGAAAGCTGGGTTGCGCTGCATTCTGTTAATTAAGAAAAATATATATTAGTACAAGGTAAACTAATTTCAATTCTGTTTGCGGGCAATGGCCGGAATGGACTATAAATTGAAACACTTTAAAATATGACCATTGAACAATACATATATCACAATCTACGTTTAAAACAAACCAACACTTACTTTGATTAATAGTTTGAGGAAACAATTAAAAAGAATAACGATTTCAAGTAAATTTCACTTTGGCACAAGAGACTTGTTGTATCACTTGATTGTATTATAATATTAAAGCAACTACTCCTTGTATTTATACTAATGCGAAATGTGTTATCAGATTATTTTTACCGCGCATTGCTAATCCGTGGAGTAAAGTCTATCTACAATTGATTGTATGACTAACACAAGTTGCTTCATAGAAAAACCACATGTGTACAATAACATGGACAACTTTTCACAATTCACTAATGGACTATGATGGGCCCCCACCACATTTCTACGTTTAGTAGGCGCTTTAGCGATCGTAGTTTGAAAGGGTCTGCTGATTTACCAGGAAGCGCTGTTGCTCTTTCTCTGCCAAGAATGTAGTCCCTTTATTACCTTACGATATCCATGGGAATAGGAGTGGTGAAAAATTTATATTATTAGTCTGCGATCACCACATGACAAAAATACCTCCGATGGGTACTTTTACTTTTGGGAATAACTAGTGAGTGTTTTTTTTATGGCATAATCCGGTAATCCAGCAGACGGATCACCTGATGGTAAGCAATCTGCGTCGCCCATGGGCACCTGAAACACCAAGGCGTTACAAGTGCGTTACCGGCCTTTTGGGAATTGGGAATTTTGTGGAGGATTCGGGGATTGGGGAGACTGGGGGGAGGGTAATTGGGCCTCCGGTAACCTCACCGACACGACAAAATACAACGCAAGCGTTGTTTCACGTTGGTTTTATGTGAGGCCGTGGTATCACTCCGGTCGAGCCGGCGCATTCTTGCCAAAGCATGGCTCTCCCACACTTATTTTACTTATTTTACTAAAATCAGTCCGGTGGTCAACCCACAATTCTTCTTGCAGCACATCTCTAGATGATCTTTTGGTTGCCTGCAGTATTTTCTGACGGAAAAAAAATATTTTGCCCCCCCTATTCCATGGAAATTAGATAATATTACAGGTCGTTTAATTATCGTCTGATAGGTGTAGTGTGGAAAATTAGACAGTAGGATTTGATAACGAGTCTAATCATGGAAATGATATAATAATATGAGACTGAACTACAATAACATGATGATCATACTATTGGTCATTCGATCACCGTGTGTTTATGTGATTGCTACAGTGAACAGATAATTTGATTACAGATTGTTTATCTAAGAAATGATCTATTATATAATAAATATATTTTAAGTGTGTAACATATAAGTATCATATGTTTTAAGTGTGGGATAGCGATGTTTCGGCACGAATGGGCCGGATCGACCAGAGTGATATCACGGCCTCACAAAAAACTGACATGAAAGAACGCTTGCATTGTGTTTCGTCATATGAGTGACGTTACCGGAGCCCCACCCCCGTCCTCTTTCCCAATCTCCCCAATCCCTGAATCCCCAACAATCCTAATCTCCAAAAGGCCGGTAGCGCACTTATAACGCCTCTGGTGTTCCAGGTGTCCACGGGCGACGCCGATTGCTTTTTTTTTTAAGGGGGGAAAATCGTCGAATGACTGCTCCCGCCTGGGTGAGGCGGGAGGGAGTGTCACACTCTTACTTACTAAAAACCACACCGTTCCTTCTCCTGCACGTCGAGTCGGAGCCCCGATTACCCGTTAGGTTCTCCGCGACGACGCCGATTGCTTACCTATCATCAGGTGATCCGTCAGCTCGTTTCCCGGCTTATCTCATAAAAAACTTTAAGCCTTTAAACGTTTTATTATAGACGCGGCTTAATCTTCATGATATTGTGCGTATGCAATGTGCATGGTTATCACATCTTCATTTTGATAAAAGAGTGCTTATAATAAAGTAATCAGTTTCTTATATTATACGATACTGTTTACTATTGTGACTATAAACCAACAGTTTTGTATCTATTTCACCTTATCAATAATTGAGAAAGACGAAAATTAATATTGTGCATGCAGAATAAAATATTATAGAGGAAAATATAGCTTCTTAACTCTGTAAGCAATACTGTGAGCAGCACATTAAGAGCACATGCACCATAACATGATCTGCGTTTGAATAGCTTATGGCTTTTTTACCACCCATTTCTTAACTAAAAGTTACTTAGCGTAAGAAACCACTAAAACTAAATCCTAAACTAAATAGAAAATTAAGGAAGACGGCAGAGTAATCAAAATTATCAAGGTTCAGCCTTTTCTTTTTCCAATTTTCTATTATAAAACTGAGCTTACCGATTAAATATGTGCTTTGCAGATGAACAATTAGATTTAAGCCGTATGTCAAAGCTTCTTTGGATTAGTTTTACCACTAATATTATTGTCTATCTTAAAATAAGTCAAGGTCAAGGAATGGCTTTTTTCGACTGTGTAGTTGCAAGTATTACTGGGTTTTAAAAAAAATGACAGTTTTCACAGAGTCACTTTAGCACAGAGTCTGGAATTGTGCCCGGTATATGGCAACCAATAGACTCACCCCTATTACATGGGACTCATAACATAAAAAGTGAAAAAGCGAGTGTTACATTGTACAGTGGGTTTAAGTGCCGTTATGTGCACCTCTGCCTTCGGGAATAAAATGCGTGTAGTTGCAAATATTAAAATTTTTAGCCACATTTCCAGAACCAGTACTTCATTGAAGAACGTGTGGAAGAACATTAGGTAAGTCAAAGGGAAACGTCTAGAGGTAGGGCAACCACCTTATTAACTCATCTACGTATACTACCATCGCAGGATACTGTAAAGTGAAAGATTAGAGATGCATGAGAGTGGGGATTCGAAAACTACCAACGCCAAGTACCAATGTGACTTTTTCCGAGTTATATGTACTTTCTAAGATTATCTAGACACCACTGACAAACGGTGAAGGAAAACATCATGAGAACTTATATTTTCTAATTATAAGTTTGTAATGGCCAACCTGCATTGCGCAAGCGTGTTGATTAATGATTAAATCTTCTCCGTGTGAGTAGAGGCTTTGATCAGCAAAGGGCATTTATAGGCTGACGATGATGATGATGATGATAACGTTTAAAAAAGAATTATGTGCATTCTATTGCACTCAGATCGGGTAAATAAGATTGAAAAAACAAAAAAAAATATTTTTCACAATAATTTAATTTATTCTAACCAGCGTATGTAATTGTAGACAATACAATTTCTAGTATTCACGTTCACAATAAACATAATTTAACTTAATAAATAAATAGTTAATGTGAGATTGCTTAACCTAAACTAGCAGTAAACGGTAACCGAAACGAATTACTCGAGATTCCAGGTAAAATGTGAGCAATATTTTACAGACTTAGTAATTTCTGCCGAAACCACTGGGGGGCGTGGTGTTGCTCATTTTCCGGATCGCTGATGCAGTCATGAAGCAGTTGTTAGGCTGGAAGGGTTGTGTTGGCTGCGCATAGTTTCCAGCGCTGTATTGGTTTCTGGGAGGTCCAAAGCAGGGGCTGGGCGCGAAGCTCTTGTACCCGGAGTTCATAGCGGAGGGGAAAGCTGGATTGCGCTGCATTCTGCACAAAAAACAATAATAATTAGGTAAATTGTTTAACTTCTGAAGAAAAATGTTATGCACAGATAAAAATTCAAATTAACCAATCCCGAAGTGGTTGGAAGTAATCCACATGGGGAATGTAATTAAAACCGAGAACTACATAGATACTTTCAAAAAAGACTGTGAACACTCAGTCATATAGCAAATATACAAAAACGTACAGTAATTTAAAAAAAATCACAAAACACTTACTTTAATTGATAGTTCGTAGAAATTATTCAAAATGAAATAATAATTATTTCAAGTATTCACTTGAGCACAAGTAGACTTGTCGTATCACTTGATTGTGTTATATGATGTTAAGGCAGCTACTCGTTGTATTTATACTAATGCGAAATGTGTTATCAGATTATTGTTACTACACATTATTAATCCGTGGAGTAAAGTCTACAATCAATTGTATGACTAAGACAAGTTCCTTCATAGAAAAACCACATAGAAACGTGTATTTATCTTCAGTTCCTGTATCTTGTTTCTTTCCCAAGGGCTTTGATGGGGATGAAAAACGCTTAAGACGTTAGATTCGCATTTTGCTTTTAACTATCATTTATAGGTTAGGGCCGGTTTGCTATCATATATGGCTTAGCCCCGGAGCCCCCAATTTGCAACAGTGCAACGCCTGGAACGTACGCACATTCCAGAAGTTTTGTCTAGGGAACTGTAAATAACAGTGTTTGAATATAAATTAATCGTCAATACCCGCCAGCAGTCACATGTATATGAAAGCCTGTACAAGTTTTGTGTGTGTGATTATATTTTTGTTATGTAAAGCTTCTCTTTTTTTTGGTACTTATAGTAAATTGCAGTTACAATGTAAAATTGTTATATGATTAAATAAATAAAAATGTAAATAATTCGGACTTTTCGAGGATGTTGACGTTTCAAAAGTACCAAATTATGGTTTAATTGAAATAAATGCTTTTGAGTTTGAGTTTGATAGAGATACTTCGCCCCGTGTTATTCGGAAATTAGATAACATCGGTGGCGATTTAATTATCGTCTGATAGGTGTAGTGTGGAAAATTAGACATTAGAATTTGATAACGAGTCTAATCATAATATGAGACTGTACTACAATGACATGATGATCATACCATTGGTCTTTCGATTGACGTGTGAATATTATGATCTGATTGCTTTTGAAGGTCAAAATCATCCAATCACATTTCCCGCCTTGGGTTAGGCGAGATGGAGTGTCAGACTCTTACTGACTAAAAACCAGACAGTTAACATATCTAATTTGATTTTAGATTAATTATCTCAGAAATGATCTACATACAATAATATTAAAATTTAAGCACCAACATTTATATCATTAAAACTGAGGCTTAATCTTCATAATAAAACGTTCACGTGCATGTGCATCAGTATCAGTATCACTACTTCAATCTGATATGGGAGTGCTTAAGTAAAATAATCGGTTTAGGAATCTATATCAGCATACTATCGGTTCAATATCTTTTGTTTATTTTTTTTTGCGCCACAGCGTAAATAAACGGATTTTCGTCTTTTTTTCAAAAAGGTCTTTGTATGGGGGTCCAGGTCAAGTATCAGCTAGCTAGCAGCGCAGGACGTCCGCTCACGAGGTGGACAGATGACTTGGTACTCGTAATGGTCGAAGGAAGACACTATCCGTTTGCTTTCAATGCTGTAAGTCATTGAGGGATGCCTATGTTCAGCAGCAGGCCATATTGTAATCATGACATACTTGGATTGCAGCTAGAAGTCAATAAGACGTATGACATTTTTTGTTTAATACACTGACGAATTAATAACCTATTTGGCTTCGCTATTAACTCGTCGAGGACCGGTTTTGTAGACACAATTATAGAACAACAGGTTGCGGTCACCGGTGACCGCTTGGTGTTTGACAGTTTAATATATACATTAGGCTAAAGTTTGTGCACTAAGCAAATAACTTCCATAAAATATATACCTCTATATTTATGATATGTTTTCGTTTTAGTGTAAAACCAATACTGGTGGTTTCGAACAGCAAATCAAGAGGCATTACTGCACAATCTAGTGTTGAAAAGCTTGATAGGAAAATATAGAAAACTAATGATAAATACTAAAAAGGGATTTTCAAATTTTTCCCCGTGGAACTGAGATAGTCAGTGGGGTTTGTCTAAAAAATCGCCAAAAATTGATGAATTACTGATGTGGTGCGACTACCCTATGTTAATATCCTTTAGATCATTCTTGCAATAATATTTCTATCGTAAAGTAAACTCAAGTAAAATTACGAACCGATTTTTTTTTACAAAATAGTAAAATTATTTTACCGCATGAATACAGATCACGTTTTAATTAAAATATCATCAATATCAATTTTATTTAAACTGTCGAACACCAAGCGGTCACCGGTGACCGCAACCTATTGTTCTTTAATTGTGTCTATAATGACGGTGCTCGACGAGTACTATCATAGTAAATTTTTGTTACAAAGCTGTATTGTGGCGACAATAGAGGGTCATTGCTAAGTAAGCATTAAAGCAATCAATCAGTTAATAGCATTGTCAGAAATCCTTGTGCAGATTTTCAGTAACAGTCAAAAGACAGAGAAATCATGGAACGGGTTATTTATGTATGTATGATGGAACAAAACAAAATAGTTCTTTTCTTCAATAATTTAATTAACACCTACAAATAATATTACAAATAAACCAGTGCTTAACATGGAAACCAATCCAAACTGGTATAAATTATTACATAATAAACACTTTAAACTTATTCTATAAATAATTAATGTGAGATTGCTTAACCTAAACGGTAACCGAAACGAATTACTCGAGATTCCAGGTAAAATGTGTGCAATATCCCACAGACTTAGTAATTTCTGCCGAAACCACTGGGGGGCGTGGTGTTGCTCATTTTCCGGATCACTGATGCAGTCATGAAGCAGTTGTTAGGCTGGAAGGGTTGTGTTGGCTGCGCATAGTTTCCAGTGCTGTACTGGTTTCTGGGAGGCCCGAAGCAGGGGCTGGGCGCGAAGCTCTTGTAGCCGGAGCTCATGGCAGAGGGGAAAGCTGGGTTGCGCTGCATTCTGTTAATAAAGAAAAAATGTATTAGTATAAAAAATAATAATAATTTCAAAAAGAATAGAGTAAATATTACTTTAAACACATGGAATCAAGAACTATTAACTTAATGCTAATATATAACTTTTTTTAAATAAACCAATACTTACTTATGTTGAGGAAATAATTTCAAATTAATTAATTGTTTCAAGCAAATTTCACTTGAGCACAAGTAGACTTGTTGTATCACTTGATTGTATTATAATGTTAAGGCAGCTACTCCTTGTATTTATACTAATGCGAAATGTGTTATCAGATTATTGTTACTACACATTATTAATCGGATTGTAGTATTGGCTAGCCTTCTTTACGATAGTATCGATGCCATCAAAGAGATAGGTCAATCGTATTACATACTTCTCGTAGTTTCCTGAAGGTTCTAGATTTATTCCTATCTTCAGGACATCCAGGTGGTTTTACATTGAAATGCTGCAAAACGTTTTTAGGCTTGATGTGACTTTAAGATCCTACTAATATTATAAATGCGAAAAGGGATATGTGTGTGTGTGTGTGTGTACATGTTACGTTTTCACGTCTCTCGCGTCGCGTCGCGATTTCTGCGATCTGGTCTTATCTCAGAGGTTCTCAAATAGGGGGCTGAAAATGCGGCGAAATGGTTTCAGTAAAGGATGGTATGGCAGTGTTTCTCGATTTGGCGGGGGCACTGCTGTGCCCTCAGATGCCTGCATGAGAAAGAAGTAAGCAAGTTATATAGGGAGAAGATGAATGTTCTGATTTGAAATAAAATAAGTCCAATCTTCAAAATAGCATATTTAACAAGTAACCAGAATGTATGAAAGAGGTTTGTTGATTAATGTGTGTTACAAGTAATTGCCATGTTTGGTAAAATCGTTTTAAAATCTTAGAAAGTGTGCAGCAATTGGTCACGTTGGTTTTTCTGATAAAGGGATTAGTACAGAGTTCGCAGAATTGTAATCAAGCTATTTTTAATGTTCACATATCTGATTAAAATGATTTATGCCTGTGTACTTATTGTTTTATTTATTTGTTTCGTTCTAAAAATAAATGTTTCTTAATTATTTCCTGTGGCGACATTGTTTTTAATTAATCTTTCACCATCTTTATCTAAGTATGTATGTTGACTGGAAAGGTATTTTTAGAGCCTTCTTTATTCCACGTGTAAATGATTACTTCTCTATAGTGTTGTTAATTACTTCTATTATATTTTCCTAATACTTTGTACTACAAAACGCAAGGTGCGCCAACAAATTCTTTTTTATGAAAAGAAATGCACGTATTTTCTCCATAACTACATGAAGTATTTCACAACGTAAGGGTCATTGAACCTTTGATCCACTTTTGCTCATGATATTATTGTTCGTTTTATCCGATTTAAAACATAGTTCATAGTAACAAACTCTGTAGATACTTGATTAGATATATTTTTATGGCTGTACTCGTTAGAATTTATCGGTTACATTATAAGACCTAATAAAGTAATTCAGTTTTATTATGATGTGATCATAAATTTACCTTGTGTTTATATGATTTTAGTTATATATCTCTTTTGGTCATAAAATTAAATAATAGTTCGATATCAGCGTCACCTCAGATGTTTGAGAAGATAGCTGGATCACCTTCCACCGCATTATACATATTATCAATGTACATGTAGTATTTCATTGATAAAGTTATTTTTAGTATTGAATTGCGTCAATAACATTATTTTTGTGTCTAAAAATAAATATGTTTGATGTGTGCTTTGAACTTAATTGAGTATAATTAGGCACATTATCATAGATCTTATGAATTAAATCCTATTTTAAGGTGATTAAAATATGTTAAGCTATCCTAAAATGTACAAGGCGTGGCCAGTGTTAAGATATTACAAGATTGTCGATGTATAATCATGAATGTTGATACCAAGTGAAACTAATTACGTACTTTGTAATTCATGTTTCGGAAGCATGTTATCAAATACAGAATTATTCATTTTACGTCTTCTGTTGTTTGTTAATGTTGATTCTGCCCAAGGGTTTTCTACGAGAAGAGTCTATACGTTTGAAAGCCAAGCGTACGGCGCGTCGCGTTCCGCGCGCGCTTCAAAGAGCCATCAGACCACCACAGATAGGGTCCAATACGGCCGATGCCGATTCGGAGTCGCGGAGAACCTAACGGGTAACCGGGGCTCCGACTCGACGTGCAGGAGAAGGAACGGGGTGGTTTTTAGTCAGTAAGAGTCTGACACTCCCTCCCGCCTCACCCAGGCGGGAGCAGTCATTCGATGATTTTCCCCCCTTAAAAAAAAAAAAAA